TAAGTAATGGAAATGCAACATTAATTCTCCAGGGTATTGCTAGAAATGGAAGACTGAATTTGGGAAATATTTCATTGTAGCTAAGGGATGTCCTGAAAGAGGCCTTTAGTGCCGTGTAGGGTTATGGTATGGCAAAGAGTGATTTATTTATTGTTTGGTAATACAGCAACAAGAATGCAAAATGTAAGATAATTGGAACAAGAATTAAGAAAATTAAAAAGAAAATTGAATTGAACTTTTTTTGATGAGATAACAGACAAGGTAGATGAAGGGGACCTGGTTGATATTTTCTGTATGGATATTAAGAAAACATTCAACAGATTATCACAGAAAAAGCTCATTAAGAAAACTGAAGTTTTTTTGGAATAATGGCTCAGGGTTGATATCCAATCAGTTAAAAACTTGGCTTAATGACAGAAAACAGTAAGTTGTGCTGAAAGGTTGCTTTTTATTCTGACTGGAGATTGGTAGACAGTGTTGCTCCCAAAGGTTAGTGCTAGAACTACAATCTTTTTTTTGCAATTTATAAAGTAATTAGTCCTTGGAGTACAGAGTAGAGTATTAAAATATACTGATGACATCAAATGTGGAGGGGTGGCAAAGATAGAGGATGATATGAGTTTTCTGCAACATTAAATGGATAGGATTGAAGAGTGGCACACAAGTGGCAGGCGAAATTGAATATAGAGAAGTGTGGGTGATGTATTTGGCAGAAAGAATAGGCATAGTCAATATTGACTTAATGGTATGGTTCTAAAGAGTGTGCAGGAGAGAAGGACCTGGTGGTGTATGTAAGTTGATCCAGGAAGGTGCAAGTACGCAGTGAGAGGGTGGTTAACAAAGCATTTGGGATAATGTGTTTCTAACTTTGCATACAAAATCAAGGAAAATAGGCTGAACATTTGCAAAGGTTTGGCTCACTGGAGAATTGGCCCTCATGTTGGCACATTTTAAGAATGTAAGATCCTTGAGAACAAGTAGTGAAAGGACTGGGGGATTTTAATGACAATTTTAGATTGGAAAAGCTGAAGTTCTTCTCTTTGGACCCAAGGAGATCCGAAGGGAGATTTGATCGAGATGTTCAAGATTGTTACAGGTTTTGGAAAACATCAACAAGGAAAGTGTGTCAGAGATAGTAGGAACTGCAGATGCTGGAGAATCCGAGACAACAAGGTGCAGGGCTGGATGAACACAGCAGGCCAAGGAAAGTGTGTTCTGATATTACAACAACTAGGGGACACAGATTTAAGGATTTGTGCAAGAAATGCAAGGAGAATACAAGGAGGAACTTCTTATTCAGTGAGTGGTAATGACCATGTTGCCCACAAGGCTAATGGAAGTGGAAACAATCATGATTTTGAAAGTAAATTAAATGTTACTTGAAGGACATTAACCTGCAGGGATAAAGATATTGAGTGGGAATAAGGCTGACTGGATTGCTTCTTGGAGATTTGGCATAGATTCAGTGGCTTGAAAGGTTTCCTTCTGTGCTGTAAATGACTCAATAATTTTATGAGATGGTGGTTATTATCCTGAATTCTAGCCATTGTTAAAATGGAAACCATAAATTCTTCTGACAAAGGTTACTTAATTGACAAGAGACCCCCAGCAGGACAGTGGTATTGGAGTAGATAGTATGTTTGGATAAACATACTAGCTGAAAATTGAGGTCAAATGATCTGTTTCTATGATGCAATGTTTAGCCTCATATAAGTAGAAAATAAGAGCAACAGGGATCTTTTAGTGTGAATACATCTCAAAAACTATGGACACTTAAAAAACATCCAACCACACATTGGGCCAGATGATTTTCATGTGTAACTGGCAGCTGTCAAAATAGGTATTAGAGTCATTGTACATACAAGAGGTTTAATATGCTTTATAATCCCTTCCTGAAATTGGGCTACCCAGTGCAGAGCTGGCACCTAGCTCACTCAGTTAATGTTTCAGCTGATTCTTAATCAGGCTGCTCTTTCAATGCACCCCTGGAATATAAATCTGCTCAAAGCTCACAACTACAGAGTTTTAAAGTACAGATTTTACTTTAATGCCCATTACAAATTACGATTTAAATTTGGCTAAATTAGTTTTGCACATATTGAAGATTTAGACACTTTAATTTTTCTACCAATCACTTAAAATCTAAGCCCTCCCGTTGCTGCCCTTTCTGATAAAATAAATAAGCCTTTCTGATCTGCTCAATCTGCTGTCTCACAGTACCTCAATCAAATCTCCCTGCAGGCTCAAGGAGAACAATCCCACTCTATCCATTTTTTTCTTCAATGCTGCATTTTTCCAATCCCGGTAACCTCCTTTTAAATCCCCTCTGTAGCCTCTGTAGTGCAATTATACCCTTTCTGCAATGAGGTGACTAGAACTGCACATAGTACCTCAGTTATGGCCTAATGAATAATTTATACAGTTCTAGCAAAACCTCCCTGCTCTTGTATCCCATAGCTCGGGCAATAAATGGAATGATTCCACATGGCTTCCCAGCTATCTTAGTGACCTGTCCTGCTACCCCCAGGGATCCCTGGACATTCATTGCAAGATCCCTCACTTCCAGTACCCTTTCTTTTATTCGTTCAGGAGATGTTAGCATTGTTACCTAAGCCAGCATTTATTGACCAAGTCTACTTGGTCTCTTGGTCTTGCCCATGTTATTGTGTGTTCCTTTGTCTTATTTGGCTTCCACAAATTCATAATTTCACATTCCTCCAGGATGAAACACATTTGCCACTTGTCTGCCTACTTGGTCAGTCTTCTGAAATTTTCCTGCAGTCAGTTGCTATCTTTCTTGTGGTCAATCACTTGGACACCTTTTGTGTCATCTGTACATTTTATCATGCCCTCAGATTTCCAAAATGTTAAACATAAAGCAGGAGAGAGAGCAGTGTCAAACCCAGTGAAAACAGCCTTCCAGTCGCAGAAACTCACATTAACAATTAGCCTTTGTTTCCTGCCTCTTTGTTCTGCTTCCTATATTCCCTGCATCCCATGGGCTTTTAAGTTTTGTTTTAACTAGTCTGCCACGTGGACCACGTCAAAAGCCTTGCTGTGTAGATCACACTCTCACCACTTTCATCAAAGCTTCTTGTTACTGCCTTAAAAATTCCATCATATTAATCACAAAAGATTTTCCCTCAACAAATCCATGCTGACTATCCTTGATTATTCCATACCCTTCTAAGTGACAGTTCATCCTGAGGTTAGACTAACTAGCCTGTAATTATTTGTTCTATTCCTCAAACTTTTTTAAACAAATGTACAACATTCACGGCTCTTGGAACATAATGCTAGTGTCACTATTTCTGAGCTAGGAGGCCTGAGTTCTAATCTCACCTACTCTAGAGGGTGGCAATAACATCTTTGAAGAGGTTGATCAAAGATATCAATAACATTTGTAGTTTTTTTTTCATACCTCTAATACCACATCTATATCAAGTGAAGATTGGGAAAATGATGGTTATCTTTCCTCCATGGCAATTTGAGCAACCCGGTGTACATTTCATCTGCAATGGTCACTTATCTACTTGCAAGGATGCTATACTCCTCTTACCTTTCTGTAAAATTGAGTTCTCAGTGTTTGACATGAGCTCTCTTTTTTGCATTCGCTTGGCTCTGTGAACTCCTTAATATCCAAGGGCATCAGATTTGGTCTTCCCACTTTTTTTTTCTTTGTGGGAACCTTTTAATCCTGAACCTCTTGAATTCCCCATTGCTCAAATATTGATTAATCTTCGGATTGTTGTTTCCAGTCCACTTCTGCTAAATCACTGAAATTTCATCTCGCAATGGTCATTTACCCATTTCCAAGGATGTGAAATTGATCTTGGCCCGATTTAGAGTACTCTTGTTATTTTCCATAACTATGTTAAAAATGATTGAATTATGACCACTCCATTCACCAGCCAGATTCATTTCCTGAAGCTCAGCACGGAATTATGACCTCTCTCGTTGCACTTCCTACAGACTGGTAAAAATTGTACTTCAAAAATTCTGTTCCCTCAATTCCTTTCATTCTAAAATTATTCCAGTTAATACTTGGAAAGTTAAAAATATTATTGCAACCCTATTGCTGTTGCACTTCTCCAAGATCGGCCTCTACATTATTCCCCGTCTCCATCTGTCTATTGCGAGTGTATATTTTTCGGACCTTACGTCAATTCATATAGCATTATTTGATGATCTTTCGAACATATCACCCTCCAGATGTAATTACGTTTTTTAAAAAAAGTCAGAATTGTTATCCGCCTCGTTTCTTACCTTCCTTCCTGTCTTCTCTGAAACCTTCATAACCAGGAAAATTATGCTAACATGCCTGCGGGTAGCAATGAGAGCAACGTTCCCTCTAAGCTGCATAGCCCCACAATTGCACCAAGGATGAATGCATGCTGGTCAGTGTGCTTACACATTGAGTTCTAGTTTTGGAAATCGCTGCTGAACCTAGACCTCAGAAGTCTGAGCGGAAGAAAAAAAAAACATCACAAGGAACGTAGACTGGGTATAATAATAATTTTGAGAACCTATTTGCTAAATTTCTACCTAGCTCCCCAAAATCTGACTGTAGGGCCACATTTTTCTTTCCACCTGTATCATTTCCTCTGTTGTGGACCAAACTGCTAATGCATTTTCAACATCTCTCATCTCCTATCACCACTCTGCCCTCGTCCCACCATCCTCAAGAGGTGTACCTGGGACAGTCTGATCCCAGTGGGTGCAGTAAGGAGTAGAGAGGACAGTCTGATCCCAGA